GATGTTCGCTTAGTTGAGTCTAAATCCAAACTGACACCACTAGAACTGAAAGGAGATCCAGTGAAAGCTGAAGTCTGTGGTGCCGTCTTTGCAATACGTCTACGGAAATACTTTGAAAAACATGGACGAATCAAAGTGGAGAAATGGTTCCATTTTGTGGATAGTCAGACGGTGCTGGGAGCCATTCACCGTGACAGCTATGGGTTTCAAACTTTCTTTGCAAATAGGATTGGAGAGATTCAGAAGACAGGGGCAACTGATGACTGGTGGTGGATTCCAGGGAAGCTGAACATCGCTGATATTATCACACGAGGGGCGAGCTCTAAAGATCTTGATGAAGACTCTATGTGGCAAAATGGACCTGAGTTCCTTAAAGAATCAGTGGACAAATGGCCGAAGAGATCAGCAGCTGAAATTGCTGATAATGCTAGAGAAAGTGTTAACAAGATCCAAAGGAAAGTCTTCACTGCAGCAGTGACTAGAGCCCAAATGAAGGAGATAACTGAAGGGAAGAAGGTATCAGCAGCTGAGAGGTCGTTTCACTGGAAGATGCTGAGTAGACTAATTACTGGAGGACTGGTGGATGTCGAAAGATTCAGTAGTCTGTCAAGGTTGGCAAGAGTCATTGGCTGGGTATGGCGCAGCGTGAGAAAATGGCTTGGGAAAAGGAGTATAAATTCATCATCTGGGAAAGAAGATAGAGTTGGAAACAGTGGATTTGTACTGACAGTTGAGGAAAGGGAGGATGCTTTGAAGGCACTCTTTTTGGCAGCACAAAAGAGTACAAAATTCCCTGAGACTACACTGTGCAGACTGGTTGTGTTTAAAGAAGAAGGAACAGGACTTCTTGTGTGCAGAGGAAGATGTGAAGCCTTTGGAAGAGATAGACCCACAATTCCACTATTACCTATGGAAGCACGAGTATCGCTGCTACTGGCTCATGAGGCGCATAATGTCAACCATGAAGAGATTGCTGGAACACTTCTGAGGATGAGGAGAGTAGCATGGGTGGTGAAAGGTCGGAGATTGGCCAAAAAGGTGGTGGAAAGTTGTGTCATCTGCAGGAAAGCACGGGCAAAGAAATGCAAGCAGATCATGAGTGATCTCCCACCTGAAAGAACTGGACCAGCTGCACCCTTTGAGTTTGTTACGGTAGATCTATTCGGCCCTTTTGAAGTGAAGGATGAAGTGAAGAAAAGGGTGAGGTTGAAGGTTTGGGGCATCGTGTATTGCTGCATGGCTTCAAGGGCTGTTCACACGGATGTTGTAAGCGATCAATCCACTGAAAGTTTCTTGTTGTCATACAAGAGGTTCACTGCTTTGAGAGGACATCCCACAAAAGTGTGGTCAGACTTAGGTTCGAACTTTGTGGGAGCACAGTCAGCCCTGAAAGACCTGTATGAATTCTTGGAGCGAGTAAAGAAACCAGAATTTGAAGAGGAAGCTGGGAAACATGGAACTGAGTGGGTTTGGAAGTTTCATCCAGCTAACTCACCCCACAGGAATGGAGCGGCTGAAGCTGCTGTTCGTGTTGTGAAAAGAGCTCTTCTCAATCTAGGAGGCAATGGCATCTTCACCTGGGGGGAATTCCAGACTTTTCTGTATATGGCAGCAAATCTTGTAAATGAGAGGCCGATAGATGCACGAACTCAAAGTCGTGAGTATTGTTTGGAATATGTCACACCGAACTCCCTGTTGCTGGGAAGAGCAAGCCCAAGAGGAGATCCTGGCGATTTCGATTTTGCAGGATACCCATACAGGAGGTTACGGGTTATCCAGGGAGAAATTAACAAGTTCTGGGAAAGATGGAGCCAGTTGGCAGGACCAAACTTGTTCGTAAGGAGTAAATGGCACACAAGGGAAAGGAATGTTACCGAAGGGGACATTGTCTGGATTGCAGACCAGAATGCTCTTAGAAGTCAATACAAATTAGGAAGAGTCACCAAGGCAAATGCTGATCCTAAAGGTATTGTGAGAGATGTGGAAGTAAGAGTTTCCTCAAGTCACCCAGTTTTTTGTTCAGGACCAGAGAAATCGGTAACGAGGAAAATTACCAAATGGGAAGTCACTAAAATTCCATCAACCATCATTCGTAGGGATGTTCGGCGATTAGTTGTTTTGCTCCCAGTGGAACAACAGTACAAGGACTTGGAAGGAAAGTAGTAGGTGTGACCTCTTGGATTCAAGAATCAAGAAGGTCAAGTGGGAGGTGTGAAGTCAAACATGTAATTTATTATTACTTGAGAAATTACTGAAGAGAATTCTCTTTCGGTTTCGCCGAATTGACGGTCATAGATGGTGTTACGGAAAGGCACGAAGAGCGCCGTCTTCCGGGTGACGTCATCCGGCATCTGTCGGAAAAAGCCGAACCCTAATTACGAGCGCACCTGATAAAGATTGATTCCTCAGAGCGCATTAGAGACCAAGCACAGGCAAAAACAAGAGAAATGAGAACAATGCTTGTCGCTTGCAGGCTTTTCCAGCTTCCCTCCTACAAAATGGGGAAAACTTTGTAACTGGAAGTTATGAGGTATGAGAGAGAAATACAACGCAAATCGGATGTGCATCAGTGATTAATCAACCCGAGACGCTGCTGGTTATCAACCTAGTTTGAGCTTGAAGCCTTCTATCAAAGAATTTACTGTTTGAAGATAATCTGACTGCAAATGAAGCTCATCTGTTCCAATGTATTGTGACATGAATGAAAAGAAGAGACTGCAAGTTAAGATTGTAACAACTTTAATGAAGAATGAAAGTAAAAGCCATTTTTGAGATGATTCCTGTGTCCGTGGTTGACTAAGCATTTTTCAAGTTTAAAGCAGAACTGATGTGTGAAATCCCCCCAGAAACTTGACAGTGTAAGCATCTAGCTAGTGAAAGAGCTCTGAGCTATAACATCTTCCTCTGGGAAGTCTCAACACACACTCTTAGAAGAAAAGGTTCTAAAATGGAACCTTAAAAGGTTCTATCAGCACTACGTATTTGGAACTCCAAAATGGTTCTATATAGAACCATTTTTTATACACTCTATACACTCTTAAAAAAGGGTTCCTCTGGGTTCTATAGACCATTTCACAAGATGTAAACAACACTGGTCCAGAAGCACTTCCTGTTTCAGTTTTTTAACACTACATAAAAGCTGGGATAAAATACAACCCAACAGAACATTTAAAACTGAATCAAAAAGTAAAACAAACATCTTTAAGATGTTTTCTTTACATGTGAAATAAAGAAAACAGTTACAAACTGAAACAGGAAGTGTTTCTGGACCAGTGTTGTTTACATCTTGTGAAATGGTCTATATAGAACCCTGGGGTTCCATACTTGGCCAATAGAACCTTTTACCAAAAAAAAAAAATGGTTCTATATAGAACCATTTTGGAGTTCCATATATGAAGCGGATGGAACCGTTTCTGGTTCTAAATAGAACCATTTCTTCTAAGAGTGTAGTTGTCGTTTCCTCAGCAGTGGAGCTGCTCTCAGCCACAAAAGGCGATTCATTCACACTCACAGCCACAGCGTGCAGGTCTGTACAGGCCTTCGACGCTTCTCCTCACATAAACCAGCAGAATCACGCTCGATGTGATGCCTGTGAGAGGTGGGGCTGTGCTTGGGCACATGATTTCCGTATCATATGTGAAGGGTTGGACAGTTTTAGATGGACAGTTCTTGCACTTGAGGGAAACTTTTCTCAGTTCTGCATGCATCAACATGCACACAAACATTCCCTGCACTTTCTCCTGTAAAACATCAGTGGCTTGCATCACTAACACTATTGATTTTGAAACCACCATCGGAACAGGGAGTTTTTGCATGCGTATTTCCTTCAGAACGTTAGTTACACACTTGTGTTGTGTAGGAGGTCATCATATTTTCAGCGCTGCATCAAAGAGGAACGACTGTTTGAAATGTTATGCTCTTGTGTTGTGTGTGTGTTTTTGTGCATTTTTTAACACCCACACTCTGAATCTGAACATGCATTTAGGCATGGAGACACACACACACACACACAAGGACTTTTGTGGTGCACAACAACAGCTTTCATTGTCCTTCTGTAAAGGATACGGTTCCAGCAGCCAAACTCCTCCTAACGTTCTTCATTAAAGTTCTGTGATGTTACAACAAAACATTGACTTATTTATTTTAGACTAATAAAAAGTCAAAACAAAAGTCACATTTGAATCTATTGAACCTTGATTCATGAATTACTGTTGAACCCATGTGTCCGTCTCGTAGACGTAGTATCAGCGAGTGTGTGCGGCTGCAAGTTCCCTCTTGTGGTATTGAGCGGGATGTTCAGGCTCAGAGAAGTGCATTGTGGGAATGGGTGGGTAGGAAGTGGACAAATAACTGACATGTTTTGCTGAAAATGAGTTGATCTACTTCCTAAGTTAACATGTGGCAGTGCAGTCCCATTGTGTTTTTGTGTGATTTACAGTGTCTATAAATATTGTTTGGATTAGGGCTGCATTATATTGATGAAAAGTCAATGCTTTTACTCATTAAATAATGCGATATGTGATGCAACGATAATGCTTAAGCTTTGTAAAATAAATGTTTACAATTATATATACGTGTTTAACAATGTTTTTTGTGACATGAAAACATCCCTACAGCTTCACAAAGTGAACTGCAGTGTTTTACCGTAGCGTAAGAAGTGTTATTTTAACATTAGTGGGGTTCAGGCTTTCAGTTATGCTACATTGGTGTTATTTAACAACAGAAACGCAGTTTTCACTGCATGAATGAAATCTAAACTGATTCTTATTAAAGCCACAACTTTCTCTTTGTCTGTTGTTCATGACCACAGATATGCATATTTCGATGTTTTTGCGATATTATTATGCAGCCCTAGTTTGGATGCATAATGGAATGATATTAATACATATTAAAAAAATATGAATCTATTTAAAACATATTTTTGGAACAAAACATGTGTCCAAATGCTTTAACGTGTCCGTGTTGATGACTGAAGATGTTTTGTGATGGTGTGTGTGCAGTGAAAGAGGAGCCGTGCAGCAGGCCGGTGGTTCACGAGTGTTTAGGGGAGGTTCTGCGTGTTTTACGGCAGGTTATCAGCACGTACCCTCTGCTCAACACTGTGGAAACACTCACCGCAGCAGGAACTCTTATCTCAAAGGTCAAAGGTCAGTCCAACTACCATGTTTTCTTTACTTTTATTAAACCTCTTCAAATATCAAAAGAACATCATTTTTTGTAAAATCACAATAGAAAAAAAATATATATATACAGGTAAAACTCGAAAAATTAGAATATTAGAATATCGTAGAAAAAAATGTGATTATCGTGCAAAAGTTAAGCATTTCTTTCAGTAATTCAACTTAAAAGGTGAAACTAATTTATTATATAGACTCATTACATGCAAAGTGAGATATTTTAAGCCTTTATTTGTTATAATCTTTGATGATTATGGCTTACAGATATGAAAACCGCAAATTCAAAATTAGAATATTGTGAAAAGGTTTTCATATCTGTAAGCCATAATCATCACCATTATAAAAAATAAAGGCTTGAAATATCTCACTTTGCAAGTAATGAGTCTATATAATATATTAGTTTCACCTTTTAAGTTGAATTACTGAAATAAATTCACTTTTGCACGATATTCGAATTTTTTGAGTTTTTGTTATAAATTATAACAAATTCAATGAAACTTCAAAGGAGAGTTAATCAATATATATATCAAGTAATTTAGAGTTTTAAGGCACAAGTCGAACTACCATGTTAAACTCAACCCATATCATCCTCTCACACTCTCACCCAAAACCTGAATGCAAACACATCAACATGTGGAATAACAAACATGAAGCAAATAATTCAACACAAACACAAGCAAAGCAACATTATATACCGAAACAGCAGTTTCCACACGACTAGCATCTAATCATCGTAAGGAAACACACACAGAGCATGCAGACACATGACTAACTGAAATACTGGTGTTCCCATTTTTTTTCCTCTAAATGTGATGTCACTTCTAGTTTTATTTGTTCTCAAAGCAGAAGCACGAGATGTGACGGTAAAGTGGTTCTCGTCTCTGTTTGTCAGGGTTCAGTTATGAAGGCACGACTGACGCTCAGAAGAAAGACTTTGAGAAGGCCATTGAGACCATTGCTGTGGCCTTCAGCAGCAAGTAAGACCACACACATTCACACATCACCTGCTCGCCGCCTTTATTAAAAATTAAAAAAATAAAAAGGAATACAATATATATATTACTTATGTAATTTAATTATTATATTATTTCTTTATATATATATATATATATAAATGTAAATATTATATTTATATTATATTATATTTTATATATTATATTTATATCTGTGTGTTTATATATATGTGTATATTTCCGTAAAGGCTACTTATAATGTTGGTAAATTTTCATTAAATATCATTTAAATATATTTTAGTTTATATATATACTGTATATATATATGTTAGGGCTGTGCAAAGATTACTTGCGATTAATCGCATCCAAAATAAAGGTTTGTGTTTTATAATATATGTGTGTGTGCTGTGTATAATTATTGTGTATATATAAAAACACACACATGCATGCATATATTATTAAGAATTATTTGCACGTAAAAACTATATATATATATATATATATTTATATCTATATGAATAGTATCACGGTGTGGTTCAGGCTGAGGAACAAGGAGACCGGAGTATCGGGGAGAACAGGGTTTTAATATAGAAATACAGGCAGGCAGACGGGAATACAGGCACCACACGGGTTCAAAATCAACAACAATAGACATCGACCGACAAACTTAGAATGACACTGAACTCAACTAAATACACAGAGTAATCAGGCTAATTGGGGTGAACACAGGATCAAAAGGATCCGGGGAAGTGTAGTGCAGATGACGGGACAAACAGGTGAAGACGACAAACTGTGACAAATAGTCTATATTAAATATAAATATTTTATATATGAATAACACATTTTCTTAGATATATACATATATAAATAGCGATTAATATATATAATCGCCCTAATATATATATATATATATATTTAAATATATTACAAACCCAATTCCATAAAAGTTGGGACACTGTACAAATTGTGAATAAAAACAGAATGCAATGATGTGGAAGTTTCAAATTTCAATATTATATTTAGAATACAACATAGATGACATATCAAATGTTGAAAGTGAGACATTTTGAATTGCCATGCCAAATATTGGCTCCTTTTGGATTTCATGAGAGCTACAAATTCCAAAAAAGTTGGGACAGGTAGCAATAAGAGGCCAGAAAAGTTAAATGTACATATAAGGAACAGCTGGAGGACCAATTTGCAACTTATTAGGTCAATTGGCAACATGATTGGGTATAAAAAGAGCCTCTCAGAGTGGCAGTGTCTCTCAGAAGTCAAGATGGGCAGAGGATCACCAATTCCCCCAATGCTGAGGCAAAAAATAGTGGAGCAATATCAGAAAGGAGTTTCTCAGAGAAAAATTGCAAAGAGTTTGAAGTTATCATCATCAACAGTGCATAATATCATCCAAAGATTCAGAGAATCTGGAACAATCTCTGTGCATAAGGGTCAAGGCCGGAAAACCATACTGAATGCCCGTGATCTTCGGGCCCTTAGACGGCACTGCATCACACACAGGAATGCTACTGTAATGAAAATCGCAACATGGGCTCAAGAATACTTCCAGAAAACATTGTCAGTGAACACAATCCACCGTGCCATTCACCGTTGCCGGCTAAAGCTCTATTTGTCAAAAAAGAAGCCATATCTAAACGGGAACCAGAAGCGCAGGCGTTTTCTCTGGGACAAGGCTCATTTAAAGTGGACTCTAGCAAAGTGGAAAACTGTTCTGTGGTCAGACGAATCAAAATTTGAAGTTCTTTTTGGAAAACTGGGACGCCATGTCATCCGGACTAAAGAGGACAAGGACAACCCAAGTTGTTATCAGCGCTCAGTTCAGAAGCCTGCATCTCTGATGGTATGGGGTTGCATGAGTGCGTGTGACATGGGCAGCTTACACATCTGGAAAGGCACCATCAATGCTGAAAGTTCTAGAACAACATATGCTCCCATCCAGACATCGTCTCTTTCAGGGAAGACCTTGTATTTTCCAACAAGACCATGCCAAACCACATACTGCATCAATTACAACATCATGGCTGCGTAGAAGAAGGATCCGGGTACTGAAATGGCCAGCCTGCAGTCCAGATCTTTCACCCATAGAAAACATTTGGCGCATCATAAAGAGGAAGATGCAACAAAGAAGACCTAAGACAGTTGAGCAGCTAGAAGCCTTCATTAGACAAGAATGGGACAACATTCCTATTCCTAAACTTGAGCAACTTGTCTCCTCAGTCCCCAGACGTTTGCAGACTGTTATTAAAAGAAGAGGGGATGCCACACAGTGGTAAAAATGGCCTTGTCCCAACTTTTTTGAGATGTGTTGATGCCATGAAATTTAAAATCAACTTATTTTTCCCTTAAAATTATGCATTTTCTCAGTTTAAACATTTGATATGTCATCTATGTTGTATTCTAAATATAATATTGAAATTTGAAACTTCCACATCATTGCATTCTGTTTTTATTCACAATTTGTACAATGTCCCAACTTTTATGGAATTGGGTTTGTACATAATAATATATTTTAAAGTAATAATACAGTATATTAGATACAATAAATGTTACGTGAATTCCCTTTAAAAAAAAAAAAGAAAAAAAATATATAATATAAAATTTGCTACGGACAATGTATAATGTTAGTTCTTTTTCGTTCTTTCAAGATCATTTTCCACCTTTTCCATAAAATTCCTATGAATATTTTTGGGTCTGTGATGAATGTCTTTTGTTCCTCTATTGTATGTTGCTTTGGATAAAATCAGTTGTTTATATCTAAAGATTAAATGGAGAGGAAATAGAATTGTTTTTTTCTCATGCTCCATTAATCTCGCGTGTCTCCTCTAGAGTTTGAGAGAGATCTCTACAGTGTCTCAAATCATGCTCAATATATGGATTTATATATTCACAAACCAATTTCAGAGATCTGAATATGAATACTCCACATCCGCTTTATAGCTCTAAACTCTTACTAGATGATAAATATTTCTCTTTTTTATTTTCTCTACATGAAGAAACATCTGAGTGTGTGTGTGTGTGTGTGTGTGTCAGTGTTTCAGAGCTGCTGATGGGAGAGATTGACAGCACTACTCTTCTGTCCCTGCCGCCCACAGAAAAAAGCAGGGTGAGTTTGTGTGTGTGTGTGGGTGTGAGTGAGTGAGTGTGTGTGTGTGTGTGGGTGTGGGAGTGAGTGAGTGAGTGAGTGAGTGAATGAGTGAGTGAGTGAGTGAGTATGTGTGTGTGTGTGTGTGTGTGTGTGTATGAGTAAGTTTATGTGTGTGAGGTGAGTGTGTGGAGGTGAGCGTAAGTGAGTGTGTGTATGAGTAAGTTTGTGTGTGTGTGTGTGTGTGTGTGTATGAGTAAGTTTAGGTTTGTGTGCATGTGAGTGTGCGTGTGTGTGCGTGCGTGTGTATGCATGTGTGTGTGTGCGTGCGTGTGTATGCATGTGTGCGTGCGTGTGTATGCATGTGTGTGTGTGTGTGTGCGTGCGCACAGTGCGGATGTTGTTAGAAGTGTTAGTGTGGGTTGCTTCCTGCGTTGTCTTGCAAGCAAATTGTTTCCTCCACACCTCTACACACACACACACACACACACAAGTCTCCAAGAAACACTTCTCAGAACATCGCTAATGACTAATGATGTATTTCGATTGTCCAGAAGAGCCACTGACACCGTTTCCAAGAAAGACAGCACATTAGGAGAGCGTGTTTGATTTCCGCCTCCTCTGAAGTAACGTCAGTCTCTAAAAGCTGCAGTAATACTGAGCCAAATCTACACAACAGCCGTCAGAAGAGGACGTGACGACATCTACAGTCTCACCACATCTATCTGATGCTGACCTCGGCCTTAAAACCCACGCGAAAATATTTTCACTCACTTTAAAAGTGCATTGTGTAATATTAAGGAGGATCCTAAATGCAATATCATATACATAGCTATGTTTTCAGAGGTGTATAAAGACCTCACATAATGAACCGCTATGTTTTTATCACTTTAAAATGAGCCATTTCTGTCTACACACACCGCGGGTCCCCTTACATCGACATGTTTCTACGGTGGCCCTAAACGGACAAACCACTACAGAGCGCGTCTCTGTGCAAAGAAGCGAGCTAAAGTCAGAGAATAAAACACTGACACAATGATAAACAAGCAACATACTACAGGGCTGTTGAATGCTTGAATCTGATTGGTTGATGAAAGTTTTAAGGTGTGCGATTATTTTCAGGGAAGCGCCCGGCTAAAGTAGTTCCGGCAGGTTTGACCGCATTACAGTTCCATATCACTGCGCGTAGTTGACTGTTATATTGTAAAATAGGATATAATTCATAATTAGAAAAACAAAAAAACACTTGATCTGCAGTCTTCACAATTTAATTTAATTGAAATCTTTATTTCGAACATGGAAGAGAAAGTATATATATTTACTATATATTTACTTTTTACTTTACTTTTATATTATAAACATATTACTTTATATATTTACTTTTTATTTAC